ATGACTTCTTCAAAGCCTACATCTAGGAGTGTCCTACCTACCAGGAGGTGAACGGTGCGAACCACTTTCCGTATGGGTTACTTCATCCCCTACCTATACCCGAGGGTTGTTGGCAGACCATCTCGATGAATTTCGTTGGTCCCTTTCTTCCACCCACTGAGCGAGGTCATGATGCTATCTTTGTCGTCGTCGATCGCTTCACGAAGCGTGCACGTTTTGCCCCGTGCCGCTATCGCATTCGCGCTCGTGAGGTCACGACATTATCTTTGACTGAGTTGTGAGAGATCACGGATTACCTCAGAGCATCATCTCCGACCGTGATCCGCGCTTTACCAACACATCCTGGCAATGCCTACACGAGGTGTACGGATCCCAACTTTGTTTCTCGTCGCCTCAAGCTTCAAGTTACCATCCTCAAACGGATGGTCAGACTGGGGTCACTAATAAAACTATCAGTATTATCCTCCGAAAGTTTATTAGGGATGGACTTAGCCCATGTGGAGATTGCATACAACTACACCGTTTCGCCATCCACGAGGATGTCACTATTTTATTGCGACCTCGGCTACCACCATCAAGTACCCACGAATTTCCTACGACCATCGCGATTGCACCTAGACACTAGTTGTCATGTGCTTGACGACTGGATCCCCCACATGGTGGCGATTATGAAGCGCACACATGAGAGTTAACCAACTCCCAGACTCGCATGGCCGCACAAGTCAACCGATCACGAATGAATCATTCATTCAAAGTCGGTGACGATGTGCTCGTTGCAGCTCGAAGTGGATATAGTTCACAAGTTCAGGCGTTGTTTCTTGGGTCCATGCTACATCCTTCAGACCGTCGGTTCTAATATTGTCGCTAGTCCGGTCAACTTTCGTTTGAAGCTACTTGATTACCTTTGACAGGCTTGCGTACTTGATGTTTACTACGTTTCCTTGTTGTGTCCTTATCGCAGACCGTTCGAGCGCTTCGCCGGACGTCGTTATGAGTGCCCTCCACCTATCTTGGTGAATGGTCACGAAGAGTTCGTGATTTCCGACATCGTATCTCGCCAAGTTGTCGACGATACCCCTCCACTCATTGAGTACCTTGTGCGTTGGAAGGACTTTCCTGATGAGGAGGCTACATGGGAGCTCCTCGAGCACTTGGAGCACGCCTGGATGTTGGTGTGTGTGTATGATCGTGCTTGTCATGCTGAGACATCTGCTCCTACTCAACCGACTGACCCTCCTCCTTCTGATCCGGCTGAGGAGATTGCTGAGGATGTGCCCGCTCCCTTTGAGGTCATTCTTCAACAGCAGACGGACGCCTTTGGGTGTCCACAGCGCACTCATTGACGTCCTCGGCATCTCGACGACTGACACTCTGATCACCTACCATCTTCTTACTAACTCACACCTTCAGGTACTTCATCATCAACTTCTTCAGGATATCAGCGTTTTGTGGCTCTGCTTCGACATCGACCCGACTCCTACTTCATCGACCACTTAGACGACTTCAGCTACCTTATCGGCTTCAGCTACTTTGGACGTGACTACTTCACGTCAACACCCTACCCTGTACATTCTCTTGCATGTGTTGCATGATGGTTCTCACTTAGTTGGGTCTCGCTGAGTTGGACTCTCCCTTGGTATCGCATAGGCATTAAGACCGTAGCATTATCTTGGCTTCCCTGCTCCCAGATTTAACTCTCTCCCCCAGTCGATAAGTTGTGTGCATGTTTCCCTTACTTATTGCATCCCTCATCACCCTAGTGTCGACCATTGTATGACTTCAGTTAGGTATATGTCCACCATATTCTAGACTCCCCTTTCATGGTCGACGTTGCATAGTGTCACCCTTTCGTCGAGCATTACCCGCCTTGATGGTCTATCTGTTAGGGTTATTGGTTTTACTTCGCTACCACTCCTTCACCCTAAGCCTGGGGACCTATCCCACCTTCGTGTGTGACTACCCTTAGGAGTTTCGATTCTTAGGCTGCATTCACCCCCTCTGAGACCATCCCACTCTTAGTGGTTCAACGATACGACATTACTTCAAGTTGTGACATATTGCTCTTTACCTTTCAGCACTGAGGCGATTGCCTCCAGGACTTTAGGATTGTATCATCATACATTTCATTTTCTGCTATTAGTTAGGATGTGTATACTAGATATTTGCTTTTCATTTGACATTATGTAACTTAGGCTGCATCGCATGGACTCCGCATGGAGCTTGCTCCGCATCCTATATTTATCAGCTTTCTTTATTGCATAGTTCCGTTGCTTTGGCGGATAGGTCTGAGGATCGTGCAACGGGCCTCTATCTGCCCTGGCCTACAGCCAGGGCCTATCAGGCTATTTGCCTGTTCGGCCTGTGGGACCAGGCCGTGGCCTGACCTCATAGGCCGTGTGCTGTTCCAGTCCAGTCCAGTCCTGCCCGGTACCACTATTGGTATCAGGCCAATCCAGTCAGTCCGCTGGGCCAACTGTTGTTTGTTTTCAATTCATTCTTAATTCTGCACATTTTGGAGTATGTGCGTGTTGAGTCTGTGCCGGAGCTGCGCTGTCCCTTCCAGCTCCAGCTCCATCTCCGTCAACCTCATCCCTTCGTCCTTATCCTGACGGACCACCATCCTGGCGGGTCCGCCACAAAATGTGTGTGTGTGTGTGTGTGTGTGTGTGTGTGTGTGTGTGTGTGTGTGTGTGTGTGTGTG